TAAATATTTAGTTTTTGAAAATAAAAATTTGGAATATAATTTAATTTTTACCTTCAAATTTATATTATGTTTTTTAAATTTAAGAATTTTTTAGAATTTTAACCAATTTAATTTGGCTTTTAAAATTGAAAACTGAAACTGTAATTTATTTGTTAACAAAATTTAATTATTCTTGTTTTAAAGAAAAACAAATTAATTTTAGAGAAATTTCAAAAAATGCCACTTTTCAAGTGCCACTTTACAAAAATGCCACTTTTTCAAAATTATTTTTTCTTTATATTATTTATGTTTGGGTTAATTATGTTATATTAGGATTTAGGGGTCAAAATATTTTTTAGTGTTTAGAATTTTTAGATATAGGGTTTAAAAATCTAGAGGCAATTACAAAAATGCCACTTTTTGTGTGCANATTTGCAAGAATGCCATTTAGGGGTGTCCATTTGCAAAAATACCACTAATTATAGATTTATTAAGCCTATATCTTAAAATTCTAAACCCAAAAAAATGTTTTGACCCCTGAAACCCCCTGAAACCCTCATACCTAAACTCTAATAGAATATAATTAACCCAAACATAAATAATATAAAAAAAAAAATTGAAAAAGTGGCATTTTTGTAAATATTACAAAAATGTGGTATTTTTGTAAAGTGGCACTTGAAAAGTGGCATTTTTAAAAATTTCTCAAAAATTTATAATTAGTAACATTTTTGCAAATGTGCACATAAAAAATGGTATTTTTGCAATTTCCCCTTAATTTTATAGGAATTGTTTGGGATTATATTATAAAAATTATTTTCAAAATTATTATAATTTTTTGTTTAAAATTATAATATTAAAATAAAACAAATTTAGAGTATTCTATGAAATTTAGTTCGAGTATTGAAAAGTTTATCGGAATTTAGTTGGATTATTTTTATGAAAAATTTTCATTTATTTTCAATTATTAAAAGAGAATTTTAAAATGAAATTAACAAAATTAGACAATAAAATCGAGTTTCTCCAAAATTAGAGTCTAATGAGACTTGTTCATATGGTAAAAGGTATATTGGAACAAAATGAAATTCAAATGGTGGTAATTTAGCAAATTTCTCCTTAATATTTA